ACTTTGGGAGGAGGAATGGAAAAGTTTGCTTATCATGTAGAAGTAGTGGGAGGAATGATACCTTTTACTAACTCCTGGGCTTTGGTAAGTAAATAATCCTAATGAAAATAATCACTCGACAAATCGAACAAGCTAAAAGCCGACAAGTTAGCCAGGATTTAAAATCTATTCTTGGTCGGTGAAAATGAGAAGGTAAAATCCCCCAAACTGCCTCTGAATTTTTAAATAAATTTGCCCCCTGGGTAAAGGAAAGGTTAGCCCAGGAAAAAGAATTAGCCCAGTTTTTAAAGAAAAAAGGGGTAAAGAGTTTGAGTGAGATTAAATAATTTTTTACTATTATGTCCTACCGAGAATTACAATTAAGACAACTAATTAAAAGAGATTATGTCCCTAAAAAAGAGTATCAGCAATTACTTTTTACCCAACAAGAAAATAAAAACTTAACCAAAACTAACCAAGCCTTAACCATTTTAGCCGAAAAAAGAAAGCAAGATTTAGAACGAGAAAAAGAAGCCTTAATTAATTTAGCCCGTCAAAAAGTCGAAAATAAAAAAGAGGCTAGTGAATTGTTGAATAGTTTAGAGCAAAAGTGAAATAGTGAAAAAACTGAACTAACCAAAGAGTTAACGGAATTAAAAGTGGAATGGCAGGAACAATTAAGAGCCATTAATCTCTTATTTGACCCCGAAGCCAAATATTTTACTGAACCCATTGATTTTAATGGCTTATATTCTCTATTAGAAAAGATTAAGCAAAAAGAGACTGAATTAACTACTCAATTAACTTCTCTCCAATCGGAAAAAAATTTATTTATGAATGAAAAAGCAGAAATTATTAAAGGATTGGAAGAGAAAATTAAAGAATTAGTTGAGAAAATTAATCAACTTCTTAAAGAAAAAGAAGATTATCAAAAGCAAGCCGAACAAGAAGAAAACCAAAGACAAAAAGAACAAGAGATGAAGGAGTTGGAGGCCGAGAAAAAGCAAAAAGAGTGAGAGCAAGCCAAGCAAGAGTTAGAAAAGAATATTAAAGAGTTAACCACTAAACAGGAAGAGTTAACCAAAGAGAATGAGAGGTTAAAAGAAAACTCAAAACAAAAGCATGATTCTATTTTGAGTGTGTTTTCCAGAAGAAATGAGAGTATATGGGGAGAGTGAGTGAGTAGACCTAAATCAGAAGAAGTAGAATTAAAAATGGAACCTGAAACTATTAAGTTTTTGGATGAGAAGTATCCGAAAGAGAAGAGGGGGAGTGTTGAGAAGTTGAATATTAGGGATAAAGGTTTAAAAGGTCATTTAGATTTAAGGGAGTTTGTTAATTTAGAAAAGTTATATTGTAATGATAATCAACTTACTAGTTTAGATTTAAGTAAGAATATTAATTTAAATGAGTTACGATGTTATAATAATGAACTAACCAGTTTGGATGTCAGCCATAATCCTAAACTAATTAATTTATATTGTGATGCTGAACTATTTACCGAAAACAAAATCATTGGATTAGAAAAAACTTCGATAATTCGACTTGACTGTCGTGGTGGTGATTTACTCCATGAAAGTAAAGACCCCCAATTCATTTGAGAGGTTTTTGTCAGAAAATATAATACAACTTTCCCCGAA